GGCTCCTATCACGTCGGCGTCAGCGACGTTCGGGAGCTCGTTGCACTGTCGAGAGAAGCGTCGAATGTACCCACGAAGGGTTTCATTGGCCTTCTGGCGGCAGTTTTTGAGGTCCCATGGGTTTTCAGGGCGTTTGTACGTGCCCTGGAAGTTACCCACGAAGATCTCCGTCAGATCCGCCCAACTCTGAATAGCATTGGACGGTAGGTGCTCCAGCCATGCTCGCGCCGAATCGGCCAAGAACAGCGGGAGATTGCGAATAATGAAGTTGTCATCACTCGCACCACCGGCCTGACATGCAAGCCGATAGTCTTCGAGCCAAAGCCCGGGATTTGTTTCGCCAGAATTTTTAGGGATGTTGGTAGGCGGTCGATACCTTAGGGGGAACGTAGCGTTGAGGATGTGTTGGGCGAAGGCCTGAGGGCCTAGCAGGCCGGGGCTCGGGCTTCGGTCCTCGTTGCTGTCGTAGTGCTCACCACGTCGGGGATGATAGCCGCGGCGTGCTGCTTCTCCATTGTTGCCGTGGGCGCGTCTCCGAGCATCGATGATGCTGCGTACGTCGCGGCCATGGCTGAGGCGTTGATGTACTGGGACGACGGAGGGTTGCCCGCTGGCTAGCGGTGTTTGGTGTACGGATGCGTCCTTGGTGGGACACACCGAGGGCGCGCGCTGGCTGGTGTCGGGTTCGCGTCGTCGAGACAACGAACTTTCCGCCTGCTGCGCCGCTGCTCGCTCGAGCAACGTGCGAATCTCCCGGCGAGCGCGGCGATCCTCGGGCGTCGCGGCCTCCGGAAGGCCATGCAGCAAGGCGGTTGCTGCGGCGATGTTCTGGCTTGCTCGGGCAAAGTGAGGAAGGGCCCCATCGTCGGTGAGGATCCTCTGATGTACGGTGCGGGCCATGGTGCGCGCGCGCCCCCCGTCTTTGCGGCGTTCAATCTCGCGATTGATGTCCACGTACTCCCGGACGAGCCCTTGCCTGGCCTCATCGATCTCCTACTGATGGGCCTTCAGCTGCTCCATCCTTAGGCGAGATGGGGCTGTCGTCTCTTCCCCGGATCTGCTGCCAGGGTTGTTTGCAGGGGTGACCTCTTCCCTGGAGGCGCTTTCGACGTGACCTTCGGGGGTCTGCGTCATGAAGCACTCCCGGGAAGGGTGGTGACTCTCCCTACTGGAATCCGAGCTAGAGAACGATCCCAGCTCCTCGTTGAGGAGCCCGTAGAGGGTCTCCGTATCATGTTCAATCGCCCCCACGAACTCGATGTCCGTGGGTGACTGAACCATCCGTAGCGCCAGAAGGTGGCTAGCGGTTGCCGCAGCGTTGCGGAGACCGAACGGAAACGCTGTCGGAGCGCTCCGTACGGGACCTTCTGGACATAGGGTGATGTTGTGCAAGACCTCCCTTGGTGACCGGACTCCCAGGGAGTTGCCCGGCGGGCCCTCAAGCCTAAGACGGTTGAGGTTGATGGAAGGAAGAGATGGGGCGACAGAGTGAGTCAGCACCAACTCTCCTTCTAGTGTGATGATGAAATCTAGGTCGCCGAAACGCATGTGTGCGCCCGGGACCCAGGTGATTGCGTGGGTGGCCATCCGAGGCCTGATTTGGAACGCGCAAGCCCCCTACCTGGCACGCCAACTGTCGGTGTTTCGTACAAGCACCGGCAAGTAAATTTATAGTAATGCGCGTTAGGCTCGGATGGTGCGCTAAAGGACACAAGATTTATACTAGTTTGGGTCGAAAGTCCCTACGTCCAGTTTGTTGCTGCTCGTGTTATTAGCACCGTGAACGGTTTGCAGTAAGGGGTACAAACGATCGAGAGAGGGACTGGTCCCAAGTCTCTGATGGAAGGGTTAAAGGGATGTCAAGAGGTTCGACACCAACTTGACTGTGCGTATCTGAGAGTCGTCTCGTTCGATCTCTCTCTTTTTTCCTCCCCCTTTATGGAGGAAGCGCATCCCCTTTTATAGATGAAGGGGCTGGCTTTACAAGGGTGAGGGCTTTAGGATGCGTACTCTACTTAGTCTTGTGGTTCACGTCTACCCGGCCTGGTCCTTCATTCTGATGAGTGCGAAGGAAGATAAGTGCCTACAATACTGTCGATGTCCCTGTAGAATGTCAGGTTGGTTACAGAATGCTACCCTGCGCAGGGTATGGGCCGCAGTACAGTGGTTTTGACTTTTGAGCCTCCCCCAGCCTTGCTCCACACGCCTTCTGGTTCCTATGAGTCTTCGTCGGAGGGACGCGGGGTCGGGGTCTGGAGTAGCACCGTGGCCAAGGTCTTCTGTCTTGGTGGACCTGAGGGGTCGGGAAGCGGGCGGCGCTCCCTTGGGTCCACCGCGTGGTGACGGAATATCCGTCATTCATGGAGATAGCAGATCCTTTTCTGGAGCGTAGTGGTTGTCGTATATCTTCGTCGGGTTCCGTGTCCCAGAGCTAAAGGCGGCGCCTACAACTCTACAGGGTGGAGAGCTCGCACCTGTGACACCTCCTTTCGGGCTCTGCGGCGCCTGGAAGGGCCTAAAGCGCCCGTCCCGTCATCCCCTGGCAGTACTTTTCCTGCCAGGGTGCAGGGTATGGCTCTTGGAGCCACGGTTGACCTGAACGTCGTGTCTTGCCCTGTCTCTATCATCTTGAAGGAACAGGGAGGAGTGGTCAGGTAAGATGAATCCAATCTTTAGATATGGAGTGGAGTGAGACTTGTTTCTTGCCGTCGGGCGAAGCGAAGACCAATCCCTATCTCCTGGGCGAGACCGACCCTGCAAAGGCGTCGGGCGAGACGGAGACTAGCCCTGGGCCCTCGGGCGAGACCGAGCCCACCCCAAAGGCGTCGGGCGAGGTGGAACCAAGCTTCTGCCATTCCCGTGAGGGGTGAAGCAACGCTCTTATGCGTCCAGAAGTTTTTAACGTACGATGGTTATTGGTTCCACCTTCTGGGGTACCCCGGTATTAGGTCCCCGACACAAGGACTGGAGGTGTTGTATCGAATGATCTAGCGTATTAATATGGCAACGTATCCGGTGCAAACCAACCAACCTGTGTAAACTTGAAAACTATCCATCAGGATCACTAGATGTTGATCCAATAGATGAGGTGAGAGGTGTGATTTTTTTACGCTTAAGCCTTCCATCCGCCGTCCTTTTTTCTTTGCGCTTAAGCTCCTCACCCCATCTATTGGATCAGCATCTAGTGGTCCTGATCGGTAGTTTCCAAGTTTACACAGGTTGGTTGGTTTGCACCTGATACGTGGGCCCTGTTCGGCTGGCAAAATTTTGGCTGAAACTGGCTGAAAACATTATTCTGGCTAAATTGTTGTGAGAGAAAAACACTGTTCCAGTTAAAAAAAAACCGAACAAATCGAATATAGGGTAAGCCGAACGGGGCCAAATGTCTTTCTCTGTCATGAATCGCTCTGAAGGCAAGCCCCGCGCCATCTCGTGCGCCACCATCTTCCAGCTGCGCCCTCAGGCCCTCCTCGCACTCCGCCTCCTCCCTTGCCACCGTCAGAGGAGAAAGGGCCAGCAGACCGGAAGGCACATACCTAGGGGTAGAATGGGCATTAATTGAAAAAACTAACACCCACGCCCGACGGTGCTCTAACGGAGATGACGGCAGTGGCTCCCGGGGGATGGACTGGTCGATAAGGAAGATAAACTTTTCTAGTTTCGGAAGTTGCATTTTTTATAATGATCTACATGGAATTCTCTCCCCAGGAGAGTATCGGCGGCTGAGCTTGAGGTGCCGCGGGCGGCCCCGATCCCCGTGCGTCGATGCGGTGGGCGCGCGAGGCGAGGGTTTGGTTGATTGAGCCTCGTGCGTTCCCGGTAGGGGGTTTGATCTCACACGATGACGCAGCACATGGCTCGCGGATCACGATACTGCTGTTTCATCGCGCCGTCCGTCTGCGCACCTGGGCTGCCATGTGCTCCTCCTCCTACTCCTACTGCCGCCGCTGACTGATGCTACACTCTTTTACACTGTGCAGGGGGTGTTGGTGCTATGTCAGTCAGAAGCACAGACACAGCTGAGCTGTTGGCACGAGTAGGCTCCTGTGAAATGTGCCACGCATCGCAAATAACTAGTACTGTACTAATTTGTCCAAGGCCTGATTAACATCCCTTTTTGCTTTGTCGCGTTCTGGTCTTAAAGATTCAGATACAATCATATACCTGTACTGCTAAATGCAGTTTAACTTGCCGCAGTAAGAAAGAAGACAGTACATAATTAATTCAGGGTTCAGGCGAGATCACACTTTTGTGTGTGTGTGTGTGTGTTTTGAAAAAAATAAATCAAGGTTAAAAGAAAAACAGTGAGCTACACGCGCCGGTGCCCATGGCCCAACCGAAGTGCCTCGGATTGGATCGGTACTACTACTACCATGGCGGCCTAACTCAACCTTTGTTTGCTGGGCCTCGTACACTCCATGGCGGCCCATCAGTTTGCAGGGCCTAACTCATCAGTTTGTAGGGCTCCTCGACAATGGCCTCGTACATTCCATGGCGGCCCATATCTACTATTTTCATTTTTTTTTCCTCAACCCTTGTTTGGTAATTGGCAGTGGCGGGTCAATGATTTTTTTTTATATATAGAGTATGTCGCATTAAAATGACATCGGTGATCGCAATAACAACATCGAGCAGTTTTAATCGCCATACTAATACGTATAGCCAGATAAAGAGCATTCCAGGCTGACCTGCTAGCCACGTCCACTAATCAGTCTCAGGCTCACTGCCCTTTGGGCCACCGGAAAATTAATTAAACACCGTCGTTTTCTCTATTGCCATTTTTCAAAACACAAAGTTTTAAAATCCAAGGAGAAAATTTACAACAAAAAGCAATCAGCAAGTATTTCAATAACATCAGACGATACTTAGGTCAAGCTACGTTTTCGCATCGCGTCTAGCGGATTTCCCTATTTGCTATTGTCTTCACCTTGCACACTCCAGCCGAAGTCATGAAAGGGACATCTTTGTAGCAGGCCACAAGCTCGCCGCTGCTATGCAGGTCAGCGGCTGGCTTCTCCCACACCTTGCTCTTGCCACTGAGAAGCCTCAGGCTCACCGGAGTGCCCAGCAAAGGTCACCCTCTCCCCCACGGCAGCATCCGCTGGTGGCTCAACCAACTCAACCTAAAATGCGCATGTTAGGCACTATTTTACATCAAAATGACTTCTGTACTACTTTATGACAGTGCACTTCCAATTTCAGAGTGTAAATTTAATCAAATGAGTGAGTGTATTGGATGCCTTACGCTAGTATGGTCCTCATTAGAAGCAGCCAAAACCATGGCACGTGATTTTATACCACGCATCACCACTGGTTTCAGATTGCAGAGAACACAGACTTTCCGGTTCTGCTCATTCATAGCAGATATCACAAGTCAGTGATAACAAGCAAGGCATCGCAAGGAAATGTCTGCAAAACCCAAATCATGCCTGGAAAGGCCAACCTGCATTTCTTCAAGAGGAATGTATTTGACAAGGCCACTAACCACCGTTCTTGGAGCCTCCTCTCCAACATCGATTTCCTCTACGTACAGCGAATCAGCATCTGGGTGCTTCTCTGCTTTTCTGATAAGCCCCACTCGAATCTCCAACTTTGCAACAGATAATTCTGCCTCTGCGACCTTTGATTTTGAGTTACCAGGCTTTTTCTTTTGTTCTTTTTTGAGCCTCCTGCATAATAAAAATGAGAAAATATAGACAATTACTTGCTGCAATCTGAAATAGATGGGCAGAAAATAATTCAAAGAAGTCTCGTAGCATTTCAAACAGGACAGAAAGGTTGAAATCTACCATGAAGCTCACACTTGCATGCTCTACTTCTGTTATTGTTTTCCAAAATTACACTAGGAGCTCTAGCTCAGATTAAGAAGCAGTGGGCATCCGGGTTTGAGCCCAGGTGAGCATGGTGCTTGAAAGCACACCTGCCAACTGAACAAGTGCTTGATCTCTAAATAACTGTTTCCGTAAGTTGACCAACATGAAACTCTCTTTGTTCCAAAATGTGCAGCAGAAAAGACAGTTCTGCGTTGTGTTCTGGGATTCTAGCAAAATTTGAAGAATAAATTGTCTAAACATTTACCAGATAATGCTATGCTGTTGAGCTGGTTAGCAATTTTTGTGGCTTCAGCGTCAGCCACTGCTTTTGAGCTCCTCTCAGCTTGACTGCCTGCATATGCTTCCCTATGCTCACTCACCTTTTCATCTTTCTGCAATGAGTTCAAGTTATGGGGTGTAAACTTATGGCCAACAAAAAAAAAATATTCTAAATGGAAGACGCACCAATTCCTCAAACAGAGGTACATGCCTCCCTATTTTGTGCCCTGCTGGTACAAGATCTCAAGGGGTTTTTGCCTTCGCATTTTCGCCCTTTTCTTCACTGAAAGAAAGAGTTTCTTCTGGGGACAGGTTTAATTGACGTAGCACCTTATAGAATATATACCACATAGTGAGATTTGGGGGCAAGAGAATGCTATTCGAAGAAACTCAACACTCAATAACAATTAGGACCATACTTCTTTTGAGAAGGAAGGCATGAAAGGCTCCAGCAGACAGGCAAGGAGATAGACAAGACCAACTGAAGTTTTCATCACAATCGCACAGTTTGCTGGATTGTCCTTATAAAGTTTCCAAAATTCACTGTCCTACATTAATTTTAGCAAAGCAAAGACAAATTAAGATTTACTACAGAAAAATGATGTAAATGAAAGAAAGGAAAAGGAATTACTTGCAAATAGCGATTTCCATCAGTAGAGATGCCCATTGCACTCTTCAGTCCTTGTTTTAGCTTAACCTGTCATAAGAAGATCAATACAATGTTAAAAAAAAATAGCAGCCGACTTGGCGCATGCCGTGCTGGGGTTCTGCCGCTTCACATAGTGCACGAGAGCGTCATTTACCTTTTCCATTGCATCAAGATATTGTTCAACGGATTTACTGACTTTTTCTGCAATGTCACTTGTCGATGGATGTGACTCAGCACCAGGAGCGTCAGGTATAATTGAATCATATCCAGCTCCTACAGAAATAATAACAAAATGAAATCTCAAAAAAGTGAGTAAAGCAAGAGGAGCGGTTATTGATCATAGATGATTAACATATCAATAAAATTCTCAGATGGTATTATATTTGATGTAAGACTGACTAACCCGCTGGTTTTGCAATAAAGCTTAGCACACGATTGATGAAGTTTCCCAAGTTGTTTAACAACTCGCTGTTCAATTTGGCTTGCAAATCGGTCCATGTAAAGAGTGTATCTGACGCCTATGTAAATCAGATCAAATGTGTTTGTTAAACTACGTAAAATGTCATAAATCAAATATCACTGGACAAGTTTTGGAAACCTCAGGTCGATTCATAAGCAGGTAGTATCGCCACACTTCAGGAGGAATATTCGTATCCTTGGCATCATTACCAAAAACTCCGATACCCTTACTCTTGGAGAATTTTCCTACAGGGGCAAGGAGTATTTAGTTATTTGTAGGAAATATATGTACACACTGCAAAATGTTTTTAAGCACAAACAAAATTCAAAGGAAATGGCAGATTGTAGGCAACACCAATATACCAAACACATTCAAGAGAAACCATTTATAAAGCATATTTTATCAGGCATGATATATAAATTTGAAGTTCATTAAACATGTCTGAAGACAACAACTGGCATCAACTACAATTTGATTCATTAATTCTCAAGCAGTGCAAGATCGACATTGAGAAAATGGCCAAACATATCTTCCAATACTTGACAGAACCCAGTTCAATTAAAGAAGCCTTGTTTTTAGCAAATGTTGATAGCTCACATGATAAAATGAACTGCATACTAATCCGAAAATAACAAATAGAAAAACGTAGCAACCATAGCATGTACCTCCTTCATAGTTTAGATATTCAGTGACACTAATGGTCTTCATCATTGTCCAATTTTCACCAGTTCCTAGTAGTGTTGAAGGAAACATGATCTGAAAGCACCTTCAAATCAACAAGCACTTCATAAAAAGGAGGGCTTGCAAGAAATGACAGTTCACAAGTGCCACAAACATAGTATGGGAATATTACTGTTCCTAGAAAGTATTGCTGTCAAGGAGTAGTGACTTCCTACAGATAAAATAGAACTTGGAGCTATAGAAACAGTATCCAACAAAGAGCAAAGGAATGCCAATTGCTCATAATCATGTAGTGTTGATAAATCAATCTCTAACTCCGCCTATGGTGGGGCGCCTTTGGTGTCCCAGCATAGCAGGTCCCAAGCCCTGGTAAAGGAGGAGGGTTGTGTTAGGCGTGGCGAGCCAATGTAAAAACTTAGCCACTTTAATGGAGATGAAACCCGAAAGAAAATCGTTGGGGCGTAACCCTCTTAGCGACGCGCCATATCGGAACCCGGGTATGGTGTTAAATGGGCAAGGGCCGGGTCGTCACCCCCGTGACGCGCCGTGTCGTGATCTGGGCATGGTGTCAAGTGAGCAAGGATCGGGTCGTCGCTTCCTTAGTGGCGCGCTACATCGGCGCCCGGGTGTAGTGAAAAATGAGCAAGGGTCTTCACATCTGAGTCGACGGGTGCGAAGGGTAAGGAAGCTAGTCGAACCAACTAGGATCCGTTTAGGTAGTTGGAATATAGGGTCACTTACAGGTAAGTTAAGAGAATTAGTTGATACCGCGACTAGGAGGCGTGTAAATATATTATGCGTTCAAGAGACTAAATGGAAGGGTCAAGGTGAAGGAGGTGGACAATACTGGGTTTTAAGCTTTTGTACACAGGGGACAATCATGCGAATAGAAATGGAGTAGGAGTTTTGATTGATAAGACCCTCAAGAATGGCGTGGTGGGAGTGAGAAGGCAAGGAGATAGGATTATCTTAGTCAAGCTTGTCGTTGGTGATATGGTCTTGAACGTAATTAGTGCGTATGCCCCCAAGTAGGCCTCGATGAGAGTGCTAAGAGACAGCCTGGGAAGACTTAGATGGGCCTGGTTAGAGCTATACCTACTAGTGAGAAGCTTTTTATAGGAGGAGATCTTAATGGGCATGTAGGTACTACAAGCGCTTGAGTTTCGAGGCGTTCATGGAGGTTTTGGGTATGGTAGTAGGAATCGGGGAGGGGAGGAAGTTCGGACTTGGCGGTAGCTTTTGACCGATGATAGCCAACACTTTCTTTAGAAAGAGAGAATCTCATCTAGTGACCTTGATGAGCGGACAACATCAGAAGCAGATTGACTTTGTCCTCGCAAGAAGAAAGGACAAACGAGCATGCTTGGATTGTAAGGTGATACCAGGGGAGTGTGTTGTTTCTCAACATAAGCTTTTGGTGGCGATTTTACGTTTTTGGTGCGTGTCCTGTAGGGATAAACAAGCTAAGATTCAAAGAACAAAGTGGTGGAAACTGAAAGGGGAGACGTCAGAGGTATTTAGGGAAAAGGTTATCAAAGAGGGCTCTTGGAAGGAAGAAGACGACATAAACAACATGTGGGAGAAGATGGCAACCAATATTCGGAAGGTGGCCTCAGAGGTGTGTGGAGTAACCAAAGGAAGTGGAGGCGAGGCTAAAGATACTTGGTGGTGGAACGAGGAAGTCCAAAGGGCTATTAAGGAGAAGAAAGAATGCTATAGACGCTTGTACCATGATAGGAGTGTGGACAACATAGAGAAGTACAAGGTGGCAAAAAAGACTGCAAAGCGAGCTGTAAGTGTGGCAAAGGGTAGAGCGTACGAGGATCTTTACCAACATTTGAGTACGAAGGAAGGAGAGAAGGACATTTATAGGATGGCTAGGGTTCGTGAGAGAAAGACACGGGACTTCAACCAAGTTAAGTGCATTAAGGAGGAAAGGGAGCATCTCTTGGTGAAGGAGGATGAGATCCGACATCGATGGCAAGAGTATTTTGATAAATTGTTCAATGGTGAGAATATGGACACAACCTTTGAGTTGGATGACTCTTTTGATGACACCAATATGCGCTTTGTGCGGAGAATCCAAGAATCTGAGGTCAGAGAGACGTTGAAAAGGATGAAAGGAGGTAAGGCGATGGGACCAGATGGTATCCCAATCGAGGTGTGGAGATGCCTCGGGGACATAGCTATAGTATGGCTAGCCAAGCTGTTCAACCATATTTTTCGATCGAACAAGATGCCTGATGAGTGGAGGAGAAGTATATTGGTACCGATCTACAAGAATAAAGGGGATATTCAAAGTTGTACTAATTATCGGGGAATTAAGTTGATGAGCCATACTATGAAGCTATGGGAGAGAGTTATCGAGCATCGCTTGAGAGTAATAACGCGGGTCTCTATGAACCAATTTGGTTTCATGCCCGGAAGGTCAACCATGGAAGCCATTTTCTTAATAAGACAAGTTATGGAGCGGTATAGGGAGAAGAAGGACATACACATGGTTTTTATTGACTTGGAGAAGGCTTATGATAAAATACCAAGGAATGTTATGTGGTGGGCTTTGGACAAACATAAAGTCCCAACGAAGTACGTCGGGCTCATTAAGGACATGTACAACAATGTTGTGACTAGAGTTCGAACAAGTGATGGAGACACGGATGACTTCCCGATTAGGATAGAACTACATCAAGGATCAGCTTTGAGCCCTTATTTGTTTGCTTTAGTGATGGATGAGGTCACAAGGGACATACAAGGGGACATCTCTTGGTGTATGCTTTTCGCGGACGATGTAGTGCTAGTTGATGAAAGCCGGACAGGAGTGAATCAGAAACTGGAGTTATGGCGGGAGACTTTGGAGTTCAAAGGTTTTAGACTCAGCAGAACTAAAACTGAGTATATGAGATGTGACTTTGGCACTACTACTCGGGAGGAGGAAGATGTTAGTTTGGAAGGTCAAGTAGTGCCTAGGAAGGATACCTTTCGATATTTAGGATCAATGCTACAGAGGGACGAGGACATTGATGAAGATGTTAGCCATAGAATCAAAGCAGGGTGGATGAAGTGGCGGCAAACGTCTGGTGTCCTATGTGACAAAAGGGTACCACAGAAGTTAAAAGACAAGTTTTATAGGACGGCGATTAGACCTGCTATGTTGTATGGTGCAGAATGTTGGCCTACGAAAAGACGACATGTTCAACAGCTAAGTGTCGCGGAAATGCGTATGTTGCGTTGAATTTGCGGTCATACAAGAAGGGATCGAGTTCGGAACGATGATATACGTGATAGATTAGGGGTAGCGCCAATTGAAGAAAAGCTTGTCCAACACCGGTTGAGATGGTTTGGACATGTGCAACGGAGACCCCCAGAGGCACCGGTGCGTAGTGGCATCCTAAGCCAGGATAGTAACGTGAAGAGAGACAGAGGAAGACCGAAGTTGACTTGGGTAGAGGCAATAAAAGGAGACTTGAAAGGATGGAATATACCCAAAGACTTAGCCTTAGATAGGAGTGCTTGGAAGACAGCTATTCACGTGCCTGAACCTTGATTGCTTCTGATGGGTTTCAACTCTAGCATACCCCAACTTGTTTGGGACTTAAAGGCTTTGTTGTTGTTGTTGTTGTTGTTGATAAATCAATCTCTAATGACTCAAGGAAATTTTCGCATTTTTTAGACATCATACCGTATGAAATGGTACATTATCTTTGCCCATGAACTGAAATAATTCCACATTATCAGGATTCTTCCACCACTTCTCCCACTCAGGTGTATAAGATGCTGTGATGGACACATAGCCAATCGGTGCATCAAACTAGACATAGAAAACCTGAAAATAATCAAAATGGGAAATCAGATAAATTCATAATTGTAGACTTTCTTCAGAAGTGACATGTCCGAACCTTATCTTTATACTTCTCAATTGGAACAGGAACTCCCCATTTAAGATCTCTTGTGATACAGCGTGACTTTAGTCCTTCCTTTAACCATGCATTTGTAGCTTGAATGGCATTTTGACTCCACATACCAGCTACTGAAGTATCATTAATATAGTTCACCAACTTGTCTTCTAATAGAGGGAGATCCAAGAATAAGTGATCTGTTTCACGAATATGGGGAGTATTCTTACAGACCTGCAAAGAAAACACAATACCAAAAGGATATTCATTGCTCACATTTTAATGTCGTCTTATACAATTCGATCAATGATAAAAATACAGACACAAAAATGACAGTGTACACTAAGTACTCGATATACTTACCTTACACTTTGGATCGATTAGGTCAGTTGGATTCAACATATGGCTGCAATTGTCACATTGATCACCTCTCGCAGCTTTATTAGTACACCCTTCTATAGGGCATGTTCCTTCTACAAACCTATCGGCCAAAAACCTTTGACATGTATCACAGTAAAGCTGCAAAGAAGAAAAAATTATTGCACAACAGATATACATATGTATCTGAATACACAAGTACAATACCACAAACAATCTGTACCTGCTGCATGGTGTTTTCTGTTAGCCAATTGTTTTCCATCAATTTATGGAAAATTGCTTGGCAGATTTCTGTCTGTTGAGGAGAGGACGTGTTGGTCCCGAGATCTCCCGCACGGGTGAGCCGACCGGTCACCGGTGTTCTCGCTCAGTATGGCTAGAGGTAGAAGAAGGGAGAGAAAACAGCGCGCGCGCACACACAACACAAGCACCAACATTGGCCGGAGCTCTGCAGAGGAGATGGCAAAACTGAACTCTCTCTACTTTACTGAGTCGCAGTGGGAAGCTATATATACAACTCTACCCATCTCATCCCAGTACATAGACATGCCAGGCTACCATGCTGTTACAGTGACTAGATGTGACAGCAGGGCTGACTTCGGCGCTTACCCCTGTTGCGGCTACAACGCGGCAGGGGAGCCTTTCGGCGCCTGCCCCTGCCGCGGCTACAGTGCAGTAGCAGGGGAGTCCTTTCGGCGCCTGCCCCTACTGCGCGTACAGGGGAGCAGCAGATTACTTTACAATTCTTCTCCTAATCCTATTGCTAACCCTAGAACCTCCACCATGCCGATCATCTTCTTCAGCTCCGTGAACCGAAGACGGCCGAGCGGCTTGGTGAGGACGTCCGCGAGTTGCCGACCAGTTTCGACGAACTCGATGACGATCTGCCCTCCATCGACACAGTCCCTGAGGAAGTGGAACTTGACGTCGATGTGCTTGCTCCGGTCGTGGAGAACCGGATTCTTCGCGAGGGCGATGGGGGGCGGTTGTCCACCATTAGTGTTGGTGGATGAGCTTCCACACCGGTCAGCTCGCCCAGCAGCCGGTGCATCCACACAGCGTGGCACGCCGCTGTGGCCACCACCACGTACTCTGCCTCGCACGTGGACAGCGCCACCACCTTCTGTTTCAGCGACAGCCATGAGATTGGAGCCGACCCGAGGAAGACGAGCACGCCAGAGGTGCTCCGCCGTCCGTCGATGTCCCCCGCCATGTCTGCATCGCTGAACACAGTGAGCTGCAGCCTACTTTCGCCGGTCTTAGGGAAGACGATCACCTGATCCACCGTCCCCTTGACGTAGCGCAGCAGCCGCTTCACCGTGGCCCAGTGATCCTCTTGGGGATCCTCCATGAAGCGGTTGACGTAGCCCACGGCGAACGCAATGTCCGGCCTCGTGTGGACTAAGTAGCGCAGACCGCCGACGATGCTCCAGTAGAGTGTTGCATCTACCTTCGCCGCGGTACTGCCCTTCGTCAGCTTCAGCCGCTCCTCCATCGGAGTCACGCACGGCTTGCACTCAGCCATGCCGCTTCGCTCCAACAGCTTTGAGACGTACGCGCTCTGACCGAGCGTGAGCGCCTCCTTCCCCTGTCTCACCTCGATGCCGAGGTAGTAGGAGGGCGCGCCGAGATCGCTCATTCAAAAACGAGCCGCCATCTCGCGCTTGAAGCTGTCGATGTCCTCCGCACGCGCGTCGGTGACGATCAAGTCGTCCACATACACGTCGACGACAAGCTCCTCCTTCTCCCGTCGTCGCGTATAGAGCGCGTGCTCGGTTGCGCACCGCGTGAACCCACGCTCGTCCAGCGTGGTGTCAAGCTTGGCGTTCCACGCTCGCGGGGCCTGCAGCAGCCCGTAGAGCGCCTTGCGCAGTCGGAGCACCCTATGATCCGCTCCCTTGACGGTGAAACCCGGAGGTTGCCTGACGAAGACCGTCTTCGCCAGCTCGCCATTGAGGAAGGCCGATTTTATGTACAAGTGATGGATGCGCCAGTCCTTCGCTGCTGCCAAAGCCAGCAGCAGTCGGATAGACTCCATGCGCGCTCGGCCAGCTCGAACATGGGTGGTTCATCTGCACTGACGAGAAACAGCTCTGGGTCATTGAGCAGCCGACCCGCCAGGCCTGAGGACCCTGTGCCACCGACGATGTCGTCCAGCCTGTGGAACCGCACCTCCTCACTGTCGTGGAAGGCATCCACGAACTCGGTGATGTCGCTTGGAGGTGAGGCGAACTCGATCGGCGTCGATGGAGTCCCATGTTCCGCCGAAGTGGTCGGCACAACACCTGGAGTGCTCGGCACCTCGGCTGCAGTGCTCGGCAGGAGTGCTCGGCACCAGTCTTGGAGCGGTCAGGCACCACTGCAAGACCTCTCGGCTTCGCTATGGGAGCGTTCGACACCCATCCTGGAGTGGTCGGCACCACTGCAGGACCGCTCGGCACCCCTCCCGGAGTACTCGACACCACCCCAGGAGTGCTCGGCTCTGTTGCTGGAGTGGTCGGCATCTCCTCTCCAGCGTCTCCACCACCGTGGATGACCAAGTGCTCGACGATGAAGGTGCTGGTGAAGCCTCCAGCTTCCCCCGTGCCCGGACTGTCCCAGTCCCAGACCGCCTTCTCGTCGAACACGACGTCGCGCGAGACAACCACCTTGCCTCCGCATGGATCGTAGAGCCGATACGCCTTGGTACCTTCCTCGTAGCCCAAGAGCACCATCGGTGTGCTCCTGTCCTCCGGCTTGGTGAGGACCGGCTTCGTCTTCCTGACGTGGCCAATGCAGCCGAATGTACGGAGGAAGGACACGCTCGGCTTGCGCCCATACCAAGCTTTGAATGGCGTCATGTCCTTCAGGGCCTTTGTGGGCGCGCGGTTGAGGATGAACACCGCCATGGTCACCGCCTCACCCCAGAACCTTGTCGGCATGCTCTTGGCCTTCATTATGGATCGAGCCGTGCCGACCATCGTCTGGTTCCGCCGCTCCACCACGCCATTCTGCTGTGGCGAGTACGGCGCGGTGTGGTGTTGCACCACACCCTGATTCGCGCACTACGTAGCGAACTCCACCGAAGTGAATTTGCCATCGTGATCAGTCCACAGCACGCGCAGTTTCTTGCCGCTCTTCGCCTCCACGTGCGCCTTGATCTTCTTGATCGCCTTCGCCGCCTCGTCCTTGCTCGTCAGGAATTGCAGCCACATATAGCGACTGTAATCATCCACGAACAGGAGGAAGTACTGTCGACCACCGTTTGTGGCTGGCGTGATTGGCCCGCAGAGATCGCCGTGGATGAGCTCGAGAGCGTCCGCCGCACGATACTTGGCCGCCTTTGGGAACGGCAGCCTCCTCTGCTTCCTGGCTAGGCAGCTGTCACACAGCTCGCCTGCGTGCTTGATGTGGGGCAGCCCTCGGACCATCTTCTCTAGCCGACCGAGCGCGTCGAAGCTGAGATGGCCGAACCGGGCATGCCACAGCCACGGCTCCTCCGTGTGCCGTGCAGCCAAGCAAATGGGCTGCTCCACCTTCAAGTCGAGCAGGTACAGCTGGTTCCGGGACCTCTTCACCTTGGCAAGAAGCCGATCCTCCCGGTCCCTGATCCTGAGGACGCCGTCCTTGATCAGTACCTCGCTTCCGCACTCATCCAGCTGGCCAATGCTGATGATGCTTGAACGCAGCAGCGGGATGTAATATACTTCCGTCAGCGCGCGGTGCTCGCCGTTCTGGCACCTGAAGATGATGGTGTCACTCCCTCAGATCGCCACCCTTGAGCCATCACCGAACTTTACCGTGCCGGTCACATTGTCGTCGAGCTCGGAGAAGGCTTCCTTAGAGCTCGTCATGTGGTTGCTGGCGCCAGAGTCCAGGTACCACCGCTGCTCCTGCTCGCCACCCACACGCCCGAGGCGAACTTGGGCGCGCGGTTCGTCGAGGTTGACAGCCTTCAGAGCCTTGCCGTGCCCTTCCACCGCCATCACCTCTCCCTTCTCCTTGGCCTCAACGTCGTGCAGTGCACAGAACATCGCCATCAGGAGAGTGGCCTCATCATCCTCATCAGCCTGCGCTAAATGAGCCTTAGCCTTTTTCTCCTGCTTGCGATTTGGGCACTCCTTTGCCCAATGGCTCGTCTTTCCGCAGCGCCAGCAGGCGTTGGGGTCGACCTTCTTCTTCTTCTCCGAAGAAGCCTTGCCGTGGCACTTGCCATCGCCACCGTGGCTGGAGGAGGCTTCCCCGGACTTCTTCTCCTTCATCCGGGCAGCCCACTCCTCCTCTGTCAGCAGCAGCTTGCCGTTGTCCGTCGTTGTTGTGGCCTACTCCATGCGCTCGTCCATAGCCCGCAGACGGCCTGTCACATCCTCAATGGTGAGGGTGGACAAGTCCAGCATCGTCTCTATGGAGAGAGCGATCTGGATGTACTTCACCGGCACGGAGTGGAGGTACTTGGAGACCGCCTCTTCTTCGTCGATGGTGACGCTGTGGCTCCTCAGCTTGGTGATGAGCGACTGCAGGCGGAGGGAGAAGTCCTCCACCGACTTACCATCCTTGAACTTGAGATTGGCGTACTCCTGCTTCAGCAGCTGGGCCGTCACCTTCTTTGCGCGGTCGGAGCCGACGCGCATCACTGCAATGGCCTCCCACGCCTCCTTAGCAGAGTTCTTCGCCCCCAACGGCTCCCTATACTCCGCTGGCACAACAGTGAGGATAGCCTCCAACGCTGACATGTCGCCTTCTTCGTTGTCGGTGCTCTTGTCAATGGCATTCCAGAGCCGTCGGGCTCTGAGCTTGACCTTCATGGTCACCGCCCACTCGCTATAGTTGGTGCGAGTCAGCGTCGGCCAATTAGTGCCGCTGACCTCCCGCACCGTGCGCACGACGACCTCCTGTCGTGGCTGGGCAGCCACAGCAGCGCCGCCGCTGTCGCCTATCTCCAAACCGTCCGTCATCGCCAGCGGTTAGTCCGACGACGGCGCTTGTACAGCTCTGATACCACTTGTTGGTCTCGAGATCTCCCGCACGAGTGAACTGACCGGTCACCGGCGTTCTCGCTCAGTATGGCTAGAGGTAGAAGAAGGGAGGGAGAACAGAGCGCACACACACAGCATAACCACCAGCGTTGGCCGGAGCTCTGCAGAGGAGATTGCAAAACTGAACTCTCTCTACTTTACTGAGTCACAGTGGAAAGTTATATATACAATTCTACCCATCTAATCCCAGTACATAGACATGTCAGGTTGTCATGCTGCTACAGTGACTAGATGTGATAGCAGAGCTGACTATGGCGCTTGCCCCTGCTGTGGCTACAGTGCGGCATGGGAGCCTTTCGGCGCCTGCCCTTGCTGCGTCTACAGTGCGACAGCAAGGGAGCCCTTTCGGCACCTGCCCCTGCCGCGCGTACAGGAGAGCAGTAGATTACTTTACAGGACGTACGCCCAAATTTGTCAAATTTTATGTCAAACCACTTGTAAACCTCGTTGTGCATAGCATGGTACCTGCAGGTTTCATCAGCAAGGAAAGGTTTATACGAAGAAAGCTTTGTTTGCCCAAGTATAATTAGTTCCTTGTGGTGGAAGGTTCAAGTCTCCTTAGTTAGTTTCCCCAAGTACACCTGTGTCGGATTGAACGCAAGTCTCCTAGCGGACAGCGTAGAACAAGCTCTTTGGTCGTACAATTAGTTTCTTAGTTAGTCACAACAGCGTGCGTTCCACCGTCTTGCGGTGCTTTTTGTTCGTGTTCTACCCCATAACTAATGGCATCTCGCTGTGATGTGATGACAGGTGTGTATGTTTCCTAACTTCTCCTTAATGAAACACGTGCTAAGCACGTTCTCGAAAAAAAAAGAAGGTTCAAATCTTCGACCTTAAATGGGAGCTCACTTTTTTTGCCACTAATTAGTAGATGCATGTGGTGATTTCGTCAACGCCAAGATTTTAGCCTAGTGTCTCCAAGGTCCTCATAGGTGTATATGTTCGTGTGTTCATAGGAGTGTTTCAAAAAAGAAAGAAAGAAGAAAGTGTGTTTTTGTTAATACATGCATCTCAACAAGCAATGTATCTACCATATGAACAGAATACTTCATGTGTACAATAAAGACAAAGTAAAATTCAGTGGTTTTAAGAAAAGGTCAAATGCTTATAAACAAGATATGATAATCAAGTTCTAATCAAATTATAGCCAATGAAGATATAATGCACAGAACTGGCAGGATCACGATTAAGTCATCAGTCAACTATTGCAAAAACCAAATCACTTGATTCACTATTGCAGCATGGACACTCATGTTCAATGCGATTTAGGAATAACAACGTCTAACCGAAATTAAGATCAATAAATTAAACAAAGTAAACGCAGCAAGTCACACTCAACGCAGTGAGGAACGTCAAAACGCTGAGAAAATTAACTTAACTAGAAGAGAAGCACCGCCCGCCCAAATCGAATCATCTTCCCCCCAAATTACTCAACGATTGATCAAATTTCCAACTAGAAGAGAAGCACCGCCCGGCCGCACTGAAAGGCAGGGATTTCAGGTTAAGCGCCTGTTGACTCACTTGTCACAGATCTCCTTGGGCGAGCACTTCTCCTCCATGGCCTTGGTCTCCATGGTCGTCATACATACTAAGTATGTAGAGCGCGTTGTACCCTTGTGACTGCTTGCAGCAGGCTGCGAACACGTCAAGCGCCAAAGACGCTGCAAGACAACATAATTAAACGCCGCCTGTGAGACGAACGGCGAAGGGCGAGGGATAATTCGGGGATCGAGTGGGGAAAGAGGTGCGGCGGCGCGGGGAAGGGAGGGAGGGACGCTCACATCCGATGATGTTCCCGAGGTGCGGGACGTTGTTCACATAGGGTAAGGCGCTGGTGATGAGTATGTTGCGGCGTCCGGGGATCGGCAGCTTCGGCGGCGGAGACGACGACGCCATGGCGGTCGGAGGTTTTGGTGTTGTCCGAGTCACAACCCACCCTCGTGGACTCGTCGACGGCGACGGGTCTTGGTGTTCGGCTGGGGCTGCCTGGCTGTGGCCAGCCCCTCACATGAACGCTGTTCTAATGAATCAGCCAGCAATATTTTTCTCTCACATAAATAAACCAGCAACAATACGAATCAGCCAACCGAACGGGTAGACTGTCTCCAACCGAGTAGCCATTACGGCACCCAAACCCATTTTGCATCGTCCAAGAGAAAAAAAAACGACATCCAACGGCGTAGGCAAATGAATGATGCATTTTACATCGACAGCGAGTCGAGACCCAAATATAGGTCCTCTGTCCGTCTCTCTCTCGTCGACCGCAAGTCCACAACCGCGAATGAAACCGGCCGTGCTCGGTCGTCTGTCTTTGGGTCACCTGTTGGAACATGTAACGTTTGGGTGGCTGACCTATTTTTCCTGCAAGACCCAAAACAACAAATGCATGTCCTATTTGGGTAACGACGGTTAGAGTCAGTCTTATAAACCGCTGCCGCTCCGGGCATCTGACTGCCGGGCCCACCATGGTCGTAAAGCAGGCTTGGAATCTTTTCCTCGTCCAATGGATTCTGACGCTGGCCGGTCGCCTTCCCGGGTTCGAATCGGACAGATTCTGGTATCTGTGCACCAACAAATTCTGACGCTGATGCACCCACGCTGCCACGCATTACGCATACGATGGATGCAAATGCAGTTGGGTTCGGGTTCCACCAGACGAATTCCCCTACGCGGCTATGCCTTGCACTTGCTCGTCCATTTGGTTGCCTTGCCCACTTCAATGGCGAGGCATTCAGGAATCAGGATTCAGAAGTGAGGCTTCTCCATGCGCTATCTGAAGCTTCTCCGCACATGCTATTCAGAGAATTCCGGATTCAGAAGTGTGAATCGCATCGCAGCTTCGACCGCTAATTTTTTCGTAGGTCTTGTTGATTGACTCCTGTCGCAGTTTGTGAGTTTTTTTAAAAGGCGGCAAGATCTTTGCCAGATTTTTATTAGACGAAAGATAACGAAAATATAATTATAAAAAAATCACAAAAGGGAACAGGCCCTAAGCAACACTCTAACTCGACCCCAGGCCGCCTCCTTGACCTATTCCCCCTGTCCAACCACTGAAAACAAAGAGTCAGGCTGGGCGTTCGGTTTAAACCGACACTTCGGTTCCTCAAAAGTTCGGTTTTCAAGAATGAGAAGCCGATTGGTTAATCAGAGAATGTGAAACCGACCATTTCGGTTTCGGTTTTTTACTTTTGTTTTTCGGTTTAAACCGAGAAAACCGAGCCTACCTCCCCTCCGTAGTCGCTCGCATCCGCAACGTGCACCACTTCGCCTCGAGGAGCAGATGCGTCGCCGCCGCCACCTTCCACTCGTGCGGCACCGCCGCCACCACCTACTCGCATCCGCGACACGCGACCGCTGTCGCGTCGTGGAGCAACCGTGCTGCGCAGCCACCGAGCCTAGCTCGCCTCGCCTCATGTCGTGCCCGCGCTGCCACTGCTCGCCCGCCGCAGCTTCCGCGCTCCGCCAGACCACCTCCCAGTCGCACCGCCACCGCCGCTTGGATTTATTAGGGTTTTCGCATGGGGAATCGGGTGGGAGAGGGAGAGGGAGTCGGATGGGAGACAGAGACTGGGGGTGGGAGAGGCCTCAAGGCCTGTCCAGAGCGGTGCGTGGTGGGCCTTGATGGGCTGAATCGGCCATCAAAGGATTGGGGAAGCGGAGATGGTAGAGATTTCCTGCTGACTTCGGTTCTGCGGTTGTTTGGTTCTACTGACTTCTCACCGTAGCCGAACACCGAAGTTCCCTGGATCAAAAACCGAAGCCGAACCAAAAAACCTAAAAACAGACAGTTCGGTTTGGTTTCGGTTCGGTTCGGTTCGAGGATCGGTTTTTGGTCTCAATGTGCCTAGGCTGAACAAAGAGAGCTTCCTCTTAAGTAGAACACACACCACTGATCAAAACCTGACCAAGGAACACAGCTATAGCTAAGATTGTTGATGCTGCTGGGTCCCCCCATGATTCCTCCTCGCCAACTGGTGCTGCTTTATTTCTTCCTTCCAAAGAAAAGCTACTTGTCTTGGTTGCATCAATGTGTTCTGGAAAATTCTTCGGTTGAGCTTGAAAGCATCTAGGCCCCTAAGTGGATTTCGGTGATTAATGTCAATACAAGATTACTATGACTAACGTATGTTTTGCAGAGGCAATTAAGTTAGGTCATGGTAATGGAGATCGATTGGGCAATTGAGGTTGTCATGCCCCTACGATGGAAATCGTTTCGGTTTTCAAAGGATGGACGACAAGGTTAAGGATAACTAGTTCTAAGTGTCAATTGAAGTTGGAGAGACACTTAGAGTAGTTTAGGACTTTGTTTTTCCTTTGGCCGTACTATGAAGGGGGGTATGAACGGGTAGCTTGACCTAGTTGAGTCTAGTGAGTTAGATGTGGTGCACACTTGTTAAAACTAGCCCTAGGTAGCTCCTATGAATGCCTAAGATCCTTTGGAGCTAACTTCATTCACATATGATCGAGAGTTGGAAGTGAATGGAGGGTCAAATACTGACCGGACGCTGGCTCCGGTGCGACCGGACGCTGGCCGCAGGGTCCGGTCAGTTCATTTGACTGTAGAGAACAAGTCTGGAGTGACCGGACGCTGAAGGCCAGCATCCGGTCGACTCCAGTAAGGGTCCAGATTTGAGAAAGTGTGACCGGACGCGTCCGGTCAGTGGTGACCGGACCCTGAGTATCCAGCGTCCGGTCGTTTACAGTAAACATCTAAGATCGACCGGACGCGTCCGGTCAGTGCTGACCGGACCCTGTCAGCGTCCGGTCATCACTTGGAAACTGTTGCGCGGGTTGAACTGACCGGAGCGTCCGATCAATATGATCAGAGCGTCCGGTCATCCCGCAGAAGCTCATAACGGTTCGTTTTTCAGGTTGCCTTATAAATAGAAGCTCCACTCGTGTGTGGAGTCACTTTTGCTCATTCCAACAGCTGAGAAACACATTTGTGAGTGCCAAGAAGAGTAAGGTCCTAGTGAGGTGTTTGTGATTTGAGAATCCAAGAGTGAAACCTCATTAGTGAATCAAGAGTAGACAAGTGTGCATCCATCTTCTCATTAGGCTTCATGTGGTCAAGTGAGAGTTCGTGCTTGTTACTCTTGGTGATCGCCATCACCTAGACGGTTTGGTGGTGATTGGGAGCTTGGTGATCACCCGGCGGAGCTTGTGGGTGACCCAACTCAAGTTGTGAGCGGTTTTGGGTGATTCGCCGCGACGGAGTGTCGAAGAATCAACCCGTAGAGAGCACTTGATCCTTGCGCGGATCAAGGGGGAGCTACACCCTTGCGCGGGTGCTCCAACGAGGACTAGTGGGGAGTGGCGACTCTCCGATACCTCGGCAAAACATCGCCACGTTCCTTTCTCTCTCTATTTACTTTGAGCACTTACTTTGAGTATTTACTTTGAGCAATTCAATACTTATTTCACATCCATAGAATTACTTGCTAGAGTAAGTTTGGAACATAGGTTGCGAGGTTGTTGTGCATTAGTTTGACATAAACACTTTTCTAGGCACAAGGGGTTAATTGGGCTATTCGTAGGATTTGATTATTGCAAGAAAATTTAGAATTAGCCCAATTCATCCCCCCTCTTGGGCATCTTGATCCTTTCAGAGCTCCTTCCACACATTCCACCATAGGTAGATCATTATTCCGTCAAATATCCGTCTCTAGTCTTTATCAATTTTTGTGCAGCATTTTCGCCAGTAATTGTGAATGGATCCCCCCATTGGCACCGTGTCTAGTACCGATAATCCAAGCCGTTGTTTTAAAACTGACCAAACTTCCTTTGTGAAAACACAATCCTTACAAAGATGTGTTGGCGTTTTCGGATCGATACTGCACAGCTTACAAGTCGGATCATTCGACCAATTACGCTTGATCAAGTTGTTGGCTGTTAGAATTTTCTTGTATAACAACGTCCACGTGAAAAATTTGCATTTGGGCTCCGCCTTTGCTTTTCAAATCGGCAGTATTCTCAATTTGCTAAATGATCCTTGGAATTGAATGCCATAAGCACTCTTTGCTGTGTATTCCCCATCTGCTGTCCATCGTCACCGGATATTGTCTTCCCTGTCCTCATGGAGTTGAGTTTGCCCTATAGCCTCCCATAGCATGACGTATTCTCTTATTTCTTGCGTTGTACTTAATGGGGTTATATGGGAGATCCATGGGTTATCTTGTAAAGCCTTTCTCACCGATAGGTTCTTCCTTTTCGCCTTCTTGTACAAAGTTGGTGTGATGTTTTTTTTGGCGTTCTTCCATTGACCCATGATGATTGCCAGAACCGGGTTAGATTTCCATCCCCTATTGTTACCTCTGTTGATGCGGCGAAAATGTCCTTGTCCCTACTATCGACTGGCAGATCAAGGCCGTTCCACGTCCTATTCCTTTGCTTCCACTGAAACCATAGCCATCTTAGTCTCATAGCCCTTGCAAAACGTTCAAGGTGCAGACGTGCGGTTTATGACTTATGAGTCTGTTTATCCATTGGGAACATTGTATAAATCAGTTGGTTATCCTGATAACTGCAGTATTTCCTTACACATAAATTTGTCACGGAGTAACAAGTTAACTAACCACCCGAAACATTGTTTTTCCTTTCAAGCTCTGCTGTTGGAACGAAATTAGGAGTTTCAGGGTGCCTGTCGGTGGTGCAGAGTTTACTGCTACATCTTTTTAGCACTAATCATTCAGTGAGTTTTTTTTCTGAAAGAACCATTCAGTGAGCTAATTGTTCACATAAACATGTTTAATTAGTTCCCATGTTTACTGCCATTTTGTGTTGCTGCCAGATGGTTGCCAACCGCCTCAATTTGAAGCCAAGCATGTGGCGCCTGAACCTGCAGCCGCAGCCCGCAGCTGCCAGCATCCATATTTCTTAACTCTCAAATTGAGTTTTAAAAGATTTTCAACTAGTATAAGATCATATTATTTAGAGATACGGCCAAAATACCAAAGCATCAAGACATTCACAGGGTACTGATCTTCATTGGATGACCTGTTATATTTTTATTTACCCAGTGCAATATTTGCATAATCTTCTAAAGCACCTTACAAGCTTTCCAACAAATAAAAGATCTTCGAATCAGAGTTCAGAGTTAGGAGATATGACCAAAATATCAAGAAGACGTGTTCTAAAATAGTACCGCAGTAATGATTTAGTGCTCAATGTTTTTGAGGCAATGGGTAGGAACAGTGCACATATTTCACATAGTATCACAGTATGGATGTCTTTTAAGGCGGATAATCTAGTGCGTACAGAAAACTATGACCATTGGAGAAATAGCTAAATGACTTGCTTGAGGCTATTTATACCTATACAACCAGTTTTTTCAATAGTGTTGGAGTCCATAAAAATTAGAAACTTGCTACAATTGAATATATGCTCCAACCACATACAAGAGCTTATTATTCATATAAAAACTTTGTGAGAGCAATTAGAGAGTGATTAGTGATGTGTAGTCCTTGTTTGAGAGAGAGAGAGAGAGAGAGAGAGAGAGAGAGAGAGTTGAGTTGATCTCTCATAAGCTTGGGTTGCCAGGACCTTAGGGAACTTATGGCTCACCGGCAATGTCAATGACACTTTGAGCTTGGTTTGGAGCGATGACAACTTTGTGTGCGGAGAATGAGGAGACCTCTTGGTGGAGAAGCTTTGTAGTGGACGGCGCCAAGGTGACCGAGAGTTGGGCGACGGTAGCGAGCCTATGTGGTTTGCGACACTTGGCTTAGTTGGCGCGAACCTTTGTGGTGAGGCCAACTTCGTGAACGAGGGAGGGCTTAGTGACAAGCAATGTACCTTCGCGGAGCTACAATATTTGACTAAAGCTTGTGTTTTGGCAACCGATACAGCTTGGATTTTGTGCCTCCTTGTTTGATCTTTTTACTTACCGTATTTGCGCTTCAATATCTGATTGTTTGTGTGCCCTTATTTTTCTAGATTTGGTTAGGCTAGTTAATAAAATTCGCTCTAGGCTGCAAAACTCATTATAGGTTCGGGTAAGTACAAAACACTAGATATCCTAAGTGCACTGCTCGTTAGTTAATCTAGTGTAGTCCAAAGGAGAACCCTAGGTTAAGTTCTTTTATCCAATTCCTCTCACTTTTGGTTGGCCTCAAGTTCCTTACAACATCATTTAGGAACACATAGGAACACATCCAAATATCACCGAGCTTTGCTTTCTTCTCAAAACATAGCATATCTCTACAATTTTACCTGGTAGACACTAGCGCCACGCAATGCACTCTCATAGGTTGTAGCAAGATCAACGAGCATGGACATATTTCGGATCGTCTGAGGACGTCTTGTTTGGTTCATCCCTTAGAGAGAGGATGAAAGGGATTTGACGCATATGGGATTCAATCTCTTTTAGGGCTTGTTTAGATGTATTTCTAAATACCTCATCCACATGTTTTGGAGTAGGTTGAGATAGAAATTAAACTAATTAAGTTTCACTTTCAATAGATTGAGGTAGAAACAACGGTGTGGCTACTGCCGCGCAGCCTACCCCAGTCCGCCTCGCCCTGCCCCGCACACGCACCCCGCCCCCGTCGTTACGCTTGCCGCTCCTTCCCCCTGAAACCCTCCTCTCTCTTCACGGGGGCGAGAGCTGGGAGCCGAGATGAACGGCTGAGGATGAGCACGCCTCGTTCGCAGGCCCCTAGCGCGCCGTGTGCCCCATACGCAGGCCCCCCGGCTCGCCGTGCCCCATCTCCCGGCGCCCGGTCCATGCGCACATCACTCACCGCGCCCCCCATGACTCTCCGAACAACATGAAACACTTGAATGCAACATACATCTAAAACAGATAAAATATTTGGAACATACTCTTGCAACATATGTGTGAAACATATGCAACATCCAGATAAAACACTTGCAACATGAAACCACTTGCTGCAATATACGTTTGAAACAGATAAAATATTTTGAACAAACGCTTGTAAAATACCTCTGAAACACTTGCAACATCCCGATCTATTTTTGCAACATCTATATAAAACACTTGCAACATAAATCTGAAACACTTGAAACATACATTTGCCACATAGGAAACGGGGGCAGGGTCCGGTTGATTCCGGCCGTTGGGGTGGGAGCCGGCGGCGAGCGCGGCGCTCGAGCACTACCAGCACCGGCCGCGCTCGTGGGTGTCCCTGGCTTGGTGGGGACTACTTGAGGCGCCCTGGCAGGTGCGCCGAGCGGCCATCGGCACGCGCAACGGCGCTGGAGCGAGCGGCATGGGCGGGGCACGCACTGGGCGAGAGTGAGGAGCGAGAGGCTCAGGTGGGGCGCGCGACGGGTAGGAGTGAGGAGCGAGCGGCACGGGACGAGGCGCGTAGCGGGGAGGCGGCAGCAGCCAGGTGGGTCGCGCAGCGTCCGGACAGACGCCCACGTTGCCTTCAACGCTACGCTGCGGTTTTACTTGAAGATACGCAACGCGCGCCACAAGGCACACATCTACACAAGTGAAGTTGAAGCGGCAGTAAAATAAAAACGAGGACAACTCACTGACACTAGGTGCTCTGCCATCGTTACAGATGTAGCACCAAGCTGTCTCTACCGGCCGTGGCGTCGCTTTCCCGTGCCCGGCACCCCAAGCTCGATCCAACTGCTGCTGCCTCCGGTAAAAGAAACGTAATTCTAGCTTGATTTCTTCTTATATTTAAATGTTGAATAAGTTTATATTAAGAAGAGTTATTAACATTTATAACAAAATAGGTACACTAGAGATAATTGTTTAGTATCTAGTAATGATATAAACTTAAATAGCATTTAAATCTAATGTTACTTGTTTAGTATCATAGTAAATATTGACAATTTTCACATAAATTTTATTAATTTTAAAATAATTTGACTCGATGCTCTTACATTATGTTAAAATGCATTCTTTTCAGGACGGCTGTTAAACTGTTCTTCCATACCTCTTGCAGGCTAGCACGGCAGCACCTTGATCGTCGTTTTCACCGCGCAAGCTAGGCTAGTGCCACGTAGTGATCATCCAACAGTTGCAGCCACCGGTGATTCGTTAATCCTGACCATTTGCGACATTGTTAATCTGATCCGGCAGACCGTTTCCTCCAAACCAACAACTTAAATAATCCAGTAATCATATCTTCAGGATCATACATGGTGTCGCTTTTACGAACATGTCCTGTGCGGCAAGTTTGTCAAAGGTAGACAAGGAGATAGGCGTGGAAGATGCAATTGACCTGGACCTGGCACTGGCAGGCTTGAGATCCAGCGACCTGCAAGTGCGAGCTGCTTCTTCTACAGCCACTTGCAGATTCTTTTGTCCATTTCCACGGCCCTCCGTTAGCCTCTCGTGCTCAATTGCTTGCTGACTTGCTGTTGCTGTAGCTAGGCGGAGACAAGTCGGTAGCTCGCGGCGTTCGTTGCACTTGCAGAAATGGTGGAACTGACGGTGTCCGTGCTCCTCCTGGTCGCCGGCGTCGTGGCGATGCTGGTGCTCCACATCCTCATCGTCGGCTGGGCGCTCAGGCGGGGCGTCGTCCTCCGCGCCGCGGCGTCGCGGCGGCAGGACGAGGAGCGCGCGGCGGGGGGGCTGTCGGCCGAGGACCTTAACGAGCTGCCGTGCCACGACCACGAGTGCAGCAAGGCCGGCGCCGGCGCAGGCGCCGAGTGCGCGGTGTGCCTGGAGGCGTTCCAGGCCGGGGACCGCTGTCGGGTGCTGCCGCGGTGCGAGCACGGCTTCCACGCGCAGTGCGTCGACCAGTGGCTGCGCAAGAGCCGCGTGTGCCCCGTCTGCCGCGCCGAGGTCGGCCGCGGAAAGGCGGCCGGCGCGGTGGCTGGACCGTCCTCGGCAGTCGTGACTGAAAGACAGGGAGGTGCGGATCGGTAGCTAGCGAGCATCTAGAGCTAGCTCGTTGCTGCCTGAATCTTTCCAGCTTGTGCTATCTGAAGCAGATTCCTCCTCTGTTACATGATTCAGTCCATCCTTTGTAATTAAGAAGCACATTTAATTCATTCTATTTCTATAGTGATTTAATTTGCGAATTGAGAATTCGATTGAACACATAACCTGGCCAGATACAGTGACGTTGCACTTGCACGATTACTCGTCGTTGACTTATATTATTCATTCGTTGTGGAATGCGTAACACTTCGGTCAACCGGACGGAGAGGTTATCCCTCCAAATAAATACATTCATTTATACTCACTTCGTTCCAAATTATAAGTTACTTTGATTTTTCTGGTATAACGACTTATAATTTGGAACGCGTGTTTGGTCTGTGGAGTGGCCACGTCTGGCACCTGTCATCCGGCATGGAATCACTCCTGCTAGGCTCGGAAGGTTCGGAAGGCGCTCGGCAGACGGTGTGGTCCGACGAATTTCGAGGAGTGAGTTGGTGCTGCTTTTATGCTTGCGCCAGGTGCGACATGATGACGGACGACTCCAGTCCGCTCGGCAAACCAAACGCAACATTCAGGCTCGGATACAGGTCCATATGATTCCGAACCGTTTCATGACGCTAACCAAACACGTTGTTAACCTCTGGAGGTGGCGGGTAATCGAGACATTGCAGGGTATACCAGCAAAGATAAGTGTGTTGCGCTCATTGAACCAGCAAGTCATCATCACCATGCAATCACTCTTTCTATGCCTAAGTTAGCACTAATGACTGATTAGTCTTTATGTTAATTGCTTGGGACGGTCACTATTAGCATCTGATGTCTTTGGTGTACAACACTACAACTCCTCAGGACTCAACAGACACCTGAGAGTGGAGGTATAGATAAATTAGTTTTTGGAGTTGTAAGTAATTTTTTTTAGTTTGAGGAAACTTTGTAGAAAATTATGACACAAAATTAGTATAGTTAGATACAACATGAAATATGTTTCTATACTATTTTTTTAGTGTCATAGATGTTAGTAGTTTTTTTATATGCAATTATTCAAACTTAAGAAAAAATGACTAAGAATAATTCTAAAAATTAATTTATTCAGAAATGGAAGCTATTTGAGGGTCCATAATTTACAGATAGATAGAAGCACTTTATTGAAGGTGTATCGCAGGAAATGGACCTATATGTATATTTGTAGTGTGGTGTGTTTCCAGAAAAGAAAAATGTGGTACATATGGAAGGCCAGAACCATTTGAACAGGATGGTGTACAGGAGATCCTTCCACACATCATAGACTCAACCACAACCGATGAACAGGTCCGGTCAATACGTTTTTACAACTCTGTGGTACATATGGAAGGCCAGAAACGATCTTCGCTTCAACAACAAAACTTGGACACCTTGGCAGGTACACAGCGCGGTGGTGGCAGACATCTCAATATCCACTGAAGGACAAGAACAACATGGGCGAAAGCAGATGTAGCAAAATAGACAAACGCCGAACGCCGGTAATAATTTACTGATTGCAGGTCCACCAGAGTATATATGGCCATCGGCCCGTTCCGGGCACGGGCCAGGCACGGCCCGCAACTTCTCGGGCCGGCACGGCACGTCATGCCTGCGGGCCGTGCCAGCACGGGTCTCGTGCCTGGCATTTGGCCCAAGCACGGCCCTGCGAGCTGATTTTCGGGCCGTGCCAGCCCGACCAGCCCGGTGAAAATATCGGGCCGTACCAACCCACAACCCGCAATTCTGTAAACACACCAGCAAATTCAGTTCTAACTTCAGTTTTCAAATTTTGAATTAAATTTCACAGAAAACATAAAGGATAAGAGATCACAGATTCACAATCACAACTCACAATCACAAGTTCACAACTAGACCGGATTCAAAGATAATAATTAACAACTAGACCATTGACCAGTCACAAGTCACAACTCACAATCACAAAATAACAATTCACAAACAAGACTTAAAAAGATAATTGAGCTGTGTGCAATGCTGTCTCATTAAAAACCTTTCTAGTTAAAACTCACATTTGTGAGAAACCCTAGAAAGGAAAAAAGAGTGCAGCACAGCTCTTATAATGATAAGTTCAAAGTTCAGATACAAATGTCACTCTCAGTTTCATCTCAACTCTCCTCTCTCATCTCTCATCTCTCCTCTCAATCTCAAATTCTCAACTCACTCTTATCTCTCATCTCTCAACTCTCTCAGAAGTCAGAACAGAGAACACAAAGTACCAGCAGAAGTAGATGCAGAAGACACTGATGTACCAGCCAAAGGAGCCCTAGATGCACTCTGAATTTCTTCATCAAGATATAAATGCTCGAAGTAGCTTGCCAACTCTTGGTTGTCTGTTGAATGTTGCAGTCTTCGTTCTCCCAACTCCCAATCCTTGATGCAAGCAAGCATCTCCACGTGTTCTTGCAACAAGCGTCGGCGCCGCTCTTCAAGTATCCTTCCTGTCAAGCTGAAGCATGATTCTGAAGACACAGTAGACACTGGAACAGACATTATATCTTTTGCCATTATAGATAAAACAGGAAATGTTAGTTTGTGGTCACGTCAACTGAGAAGCAAATTAAAGTCATTTTCATATGCAGTGACATTGTCACTATCCAGGTAAGCTGTGAGCTCACAACCAACAGATGCAGCAGATGAAGTTGGGGTAGGGGATGGACCAATAACACCAGAGGCTCCAGGGCCTCCAAATATTCTTCTCCAAGCCTGTTTTCTCTTACCAGTTTGGCCTGCAGGATGTACAGCCCTTCTATTCTTAGCTGCACCAAACTTGCTGTCATACTTGGCAAACAACTTATAAAGTTCAGTTTTAACAGAAGCATAATATGAACTGTAATCAACACCAAGGTTTTCTTTTAGAATTACCAGGACATTAAACAGACCTCTCATCTTAGCTCTTGGATCAAGAATGAAAGCAAATGAATACAGCTAAGGTATATTTTCCCAGTATTTAAGAAATTTTAGTTTCATCAGATACACAACAGCTATCAGATTTTGATCCTTTTCACTTTCATGCAAATGAGCAGAAATGTCAAGCAGATGATGCAAAACAAGAGGGCTAGTTGGATAGTACACACCAGAAAGAACAACAGTTGATTCATAAAATATTTCCAGGAATTCCAATACCTTTGCAGCTATATGCCAATGCCTTGGAGTTAACAATTCAGCCCCAAAATTAGCATTAATGAACACAGAAAAAACTTCCTTATATGGCAGCAGGTGTTTAAGCATAAGGTATGTAGCATTCCATCTAACATCCATATCCAAACCAAACTTCCTAGGTCTTAAACCTTGAGCATCATTGCAGTAGTTCTTAAACATGGCAATTCTATGATTAGAAGAATTCAAGAAGTTAATAGCAGTTCTAAAATCTTCTGTGTAAGGTTTGAACCTCTTTAAACCAGATTTAACAATCAAATTTATGATATGACAAGCACAACGTTGATGAACAAGGTGATAAATTCTTTTATTAGGATCAGAAGGTGTAGGGGCTAGATTAGAACCCAAGTATCCTACAAACAAAGGTGTCAAAGTTTCCATTGCTTTTGCATTAGAAGAAGCATTATCTAGAGTAACAGAAAAGATCTTGTTAATCAAACCAAATTCCTCAATCACAGAACCAATTTTTTCAGCAATGTTCTGACCAGTATGCTTCACCTCAATCAATCTCAACCCAATTATCTTTTTCTGTAGCTCCCAGTCAGCACTCACAAAATGAGCAACTACACTGATGTAGTCCTCCTTAGCATTACCAGACCAAATGTCAGATGTCAAACCAACAGATGAAGCACCACGCAAAATATGATTCTTAAGCATATTACGACGTTCAGTGAATAACTTACTTAGGTCTCTAGTGGTGGCCTGCCGGGAGACCCTAGTAAAAATAGGGTTATGAGCACGTTGAATGTACTCCTCCCATGCATCAATGTCACCAATACCTAAGGGAAGATCAAGCCTAGCAATCAAGCGACACAACTCCTGTCTAGCTACATCAGGTTTATAGTCCCAGTTGCGCAAACCAAGGATTAAGCGCAAGCCTAGACTAAACAGCAGCACATCGATTAGTTTTTTCCATACATGATTTATGTTGCCTCTTCGAGTGCCCAGTCCTAGAAACAGATCTAGCAGACAAAGTAGCCTTACGCATTTTGCAAACAGCTTTAGTGCAAATTCTACTGCCGTTCACATCCTCATAGATCTCATCAAAGTCAGCCCAGACAGGAGATTTGCGCTTACCAACTCTGGTTGCATTACCAGAAACAAATGGAGCAGAGCTGTTGGTGTTGGAGCTAGTCCCAGCCCTCGTCGCCCCTTCACCACCGCCACCGTCCAGATCGATTGGAGCCTGGCTGGCTCCAAGATCGACACCAAACAAGGCAGCTGCGTCCTCTCGGAGGTCGTCGTCGTCCTCGCCCTCGGGGGCCATGCCCGGTAGGACAACATCGTCATCCGCCATGGCAGTGACCGCTCTGGCCCCGTTCCTCGACGGTGTGGGTGGCCGCTGAGCTCGCTCTACGCCGCAGCTAGAAGAGGAAGCATCGGCTACCGACCTATAGATCAAGAAACACATCAGATGACATAATCAGATCAAGAAAGAAGATGCTAGGGTTAGGGTTGGGGTTAGGGTTAGGGTTTACCTGCGCAACCGGAGCCCGGTGCCGGAGAAGACGACGACCCCCGCAGAGAAGACGATAGACCATTAGCAAGGATGGCGAGCGACGGAGGAGGGGTGACACTGGCAGGAACATGAACTCACATATCACCAAGAGGGGAAGGGAGAGGGGGAGAGGAAGGAGATTAGGGAGGAGAAGGGAAAGGCTGGCCAGTGGCAAAAGGTGGATCAAGGTCACCGGAGTTGATGAGGTCAGACGTCGAGGAGACGACGACGCGGCGAAGGCGAGGCGAAGACGAGAGCGGTGTGGGCGTTGTGTGGCGGGTCAGCGGGTGGAGTCAAAATGTCGAATGGATTA